TAGCAGAAGATGCCCAGGTTCGCAAATGCGAGGCCTTGTTTGCATTTGCGAGCTTCGCACTCCTGTCGCAATTACGACATCTGCGACTAGTTAATTGGGACTTAGGCGGATTTTTCTTCATTTTTCAAACCTTCTCAAAACCTAAACACTTTTGGGCGATTTTCTAAAGAAAAGTTCTTCTCTAAACCAATTGTAAGTCATTTCTAACTCATTTTCTTTAATCTATAACACCTTTTCACATGATTTCGATCCAAAATCAAGGGTTTTCATGGGAGAAATTGGGTGTTTTGGGTAGAACTTAGGATTTTAAAATTTTGGGGATTTGGACCTCGATTTGAGGTCCGATTCCAAAACAAATTATATATTTGAGTTCGTGGGCGAATGGGTAATCGGATTTTGGTTCGAACCTCGGGTTTTGACCATGTGGGCCTGGGGTCGATTTTTGACTTTTTGGGAAAAACTTTAGAAAACCTATTTTTATGCATTAGAATTGATTCATTTAGCATTTATTGATATCGTTAAGTAAATTGTGGCTAGATACAAGCGAATTGGTGGTGAAAACAAGAGGTAAAGCGGTAGTTGAGGCTTGAATTGTGTTTGTGGCATTGAGGTAAGTGTTTGGTCTAACCTTAGCTTGAGGGATTAGGAGTTGTGTCTTATTTGCTATATGTTAATTGTTGAGTACGACGTAAAGGCATGGTGACGAGTATCTATACGTCGATGTCAAGCATGCCTGTGAGTCTTATACTATGATAAATGTGACTCCGTTTCATATTGTTCATGCTTTATATGATGATTTCTGTTGTTGAACAAGGCTTGGAAGTATTATTGGTAATTGAACATTGTAAAGCGTTGGCTCAAGTTGTGAATTGAGTTATGAAGTATTTGTGGAAAAGAGAAGAGGTTTATGATATTGTCTCCCTTGCCGGGATGTTATTGCTTTTGATATTATCTCCCTTGCCGGGATGTTATTACTCATGATATTGTTTCCCTTGCCGGGATATTGTTGTTATGCTATTGTTCCCTTGCCGGAATTTTATTGTGATATTATTGATTCCTTTGCCCAAATTGATTTGTGATTGTTGCTTGGGTGTGCATGAAGGGTGATGTCGTGCATGATTTTGAGAGTGTTAATGCACGAAGGATGATGCCGTGCCGATATTGTAAGGTAAAAGCACAAAGGGTGATGCCGTACCGCACGATGTACAATGCGTACCATGATATGAGTGATAATGCACGAAGGATAATTCCATGCCATGATTATGTGAGGTAAAAACACGAAGGGTGATGCCGTGCCGATTATATTGATTCTTATGGTGAGGACAAGAGTAAAAACACGAAGGGTGATGCCGTGCCGATTATATTGATTCTTATGGTGAGGACGAGAGTAAAAGCACGAAGGGTGATGCCCTGCGCTTGTCTTTGGTTTTCCTGATTCTTGCAGATAATTGGATTATGGCATTCTTTACATTTATCTATTGGTTTTCTGTTGTTACTTGATGTTTCCCCGCAGCATGTTCCCCCCCCCCCCTATCCTTAACTGTAAATTTTTGCCTTTATTTTCACACTATATATGATTTAACTGCACAGGTTTATTTGGTAGTCTTGTCCTAGCCTTGTCACTACTTCGCCGAGGTTAGGCTGGGCACTTACCAGCACATGGGGTCGGTTGTGCTGATACTACACTCTGCACTGTGTGCAGATCCCAGTGCTGTAGCTTTTGGACCGCAGTGAGGTTGCTGCCTTCAGTCTATCAGGCGACCCGAGGTAGTCCTGCAGGCGTCCGTAGGCCTTGGCGTCTCCTTCTACCTTTCCATATTGTTTCTTCTGTGTATTTGAGAAACAACTTTGTATTTATCTTTCGGACCCCTATTTGTAGTACTCCTAGACAGTATGTGAGATTGTGATACCAATTCTGGGTAGCTTATGTTTATGGATTGGTATCGACATTATTATTAAATTATTACATTTCATTCTTCCGCTTTATTATTTCCGTTGTTTAAATAATGTTAATTCACAACTGTTGAAGGTTTAAAAATGAAAAAGGTAAAATAATCGTAATAATTGGCTTGCCTAGCTTTCACTAGTAGACGCCATCATGACTTTCGAGGGTGGAAAATCCGGATCGTAACCGGATGGGTGTGGTATTATTATTATTATTATTATTATTATTATTATTATTATTATTATTATTATTATTATTATTATTATTGTTATTATTATACAGTCAATCATGAGTTTACTAAAAAAATTTAACTTTTAGACTTCTTTTCCATATTTAATTTTCATGCCTTATTACGTGTGGTTTCGAACTTCTATCTTTATGCTCATGTTTTGTCTTCCAAGTTTTCACTATGGAAGTTTCCTAAATAAATAGATAATGAAAAGAATGTTCGAAGATTTTGTAGTCTTCCTACTTTACACCTTATTTTAAGTCGCAGAACCACAAGTTTCTTTCAACTTGCAAACCAATATGTTGTCAAGATACTTACAAAGGTGATTTAACAGCAACCACAAATGATTTTTTTTTTTTTTTTTGGTTCAATTTATAAAAGCTTCTTATATAAGTTCTCAAGTTTAAGAAAATAGAACAAACAAAATCGTAATATAAAAAGAATTTTGAGTTGGCAATAGAAAATAACTAGGATACGAACTCTGTAGCATTTTTCTTTTTATAACAATAGTGTTCGGACCAGCTTGCGCATACCACGGTTAATTTAGAGACGCATGCTACCTCCCGCCAATAAGATATTAGGTAACTCAGCAGAAAGCATTTTGAAGTGACATTATTTGTAAACTGAAAAACTTTTCTTTCTTAACGTTTTCAAAAGAAATCTGAGTTTTCTTTACAAAAAATTTAGGGGCATTTGCATCTATACCCGCTTTTTGTGCCTCATTTTAACATGTGCCTGCTTTGCAAAAAAAATTGCAAGCATACCCGCTTTTTCACATAATTTCAGCACACGGGGCTGAAGTAGCAAAGACAATCACATAAAACTTCAGCATTTTAGTAGCCGGGCCTGAAGTTCAGCTCTAGAGCTGAAGTTTTTGTTTTGTAACTCGCCAACTTCAGCTCTAGAGCTGAAGTTTTATTTTATAAATTTTTGTTTAGTAACCGGGAAACTTCAGCTCTAGAGCTGAAGTTTGCCAATTATAAAATAAAAGCTTCAGCTCTAGAGCTGAAGTTTTATTTTATAAGTTTTTGTTTAGTAACCGGGAAACTTCAGCTCTAGAGCTGAAGTTTGCAAGTTATAAAATAAAAACTTCAGCTTTAGAGCTGAAGTTTTTGTTTAGTAACCCGGAAACTTCGGCTCTAGAGCTGAAATTTTCAAGTTATAAAATAAAAACTTAATAAAAACTTCAGCTCTAGAGCTGAAGTTTTTGTTTAGTAACCCGAAAACTTCAGCTCTAGTGCTGAAGTTTTCAAGTTATAAAATGAAAACTTCAGCTTTAGAGCTGAAGTTTTTGTTTAGTAACCCGGAAACTTCAGCTCTAGAGCTGAAGTTTTCAAGTTATAAAATAAAAACTTCAGCTCTAGAGCTGNGTTTTTGTTTAGTAACCGGGCTGAAGTTTGCCAGTTATAAAATAAAAACTTCAGCTCTAGAGCTGAAGTTTTATTTTATAAGTTTTTGTTTAGTAACCGAAAAACTTCAGCTCTAGAGCTGAAGTTTTTGTGTAGTAACCGGGAAACTTCAGAGCTGAAGTTTTTTGCACATAGGGATTTGCCTTCCTTTTTTTGGTTTTTCTTTTTCCCTCACCTTTACGTATGCCCTGCAATAACTAGTCTAGTACGCAAACACTGTAAAGTTCATCCCCAGTTCACATTTCGAAAAAATAAGCTACGTACTCTTTATATTAATGTATGAAAATGTACTATATTTCTGTGGTTAAGTTAATCCATTGATAATTTAAATAGATGTGCAGTTGAAACAACACGTAAATTCAAGTGGTCATAAAATAACAGAGGCTTTGATGGGTTTAAGAAGTAAAAACCGTTACAGGTATGGATTCGATGGAATCAGATTGTAGAAGAAGAAAAAAAAATGAAGGAGGAGAAGGGGAGGAGAAAGGGAGCTGAAGTTTTTTAACAAGTGGATACAAGTTAAAAAGTTTCAAAAAAAATGGGTATAGATTAAATGGGGGCGACCAAATAGGGCGCCCCGTGTAATTTTTATAAAAATTTAAGTAATCTTTTGACAAATTAACTCTCTTGAAAATAGACACGGTGATATATAATTGGGCCAAGTCCAGCTCTAGCCCAAAGTGAATGGAGTAGCTGACTTGTGTTTGTTATCTTCAATTTGTTGTGAATTTGGCCCATTTACTTATTGAAGAACCCAATAAGAGATCCGGAAAACCCCCAACAAGACATCAGCGACGCAATGTGCCTAGTACATGTAGTAGTATTTAACTATTTTCTTCCCTCCTTTCCAAATACACAAAAAAATTGCAGAAATAATATATTTTTTAGGGTAGCTATTAACTTTTGACTCCCACTTAAAATTTTAAGGCCAAAAGTAAAAAATATTGGCCATAAGACAAAGGAGGGCAAAAATCGAAAAAAATCAAAAATAATTTGATCTACAATTGCTAATTGAAAAATAATTACAGTTTTAAAAGTATTCGAGATTTAGCCATTTTTTCATGTACAAATAAAATCTGAATAAAAACAACTTTTAAAATCCAAAAAAATTCCATCATAATATGTTCGAGTTCGAGTTTTTTACATATGAGATTCCAGCATAATGTGCTGGAGTTCTGATATAATATACTAGAAATTTATATGCAAGAACTCCATAATCTAGCGTATTATGCTGGAACTTTCTGTATTTTAGCTAGTTATATTTGTTCAGGTTTTATATTTGAATAAAATAGTAGCTATTTTTTAATAACTTTTATGACTATCGATTATTTTTCAATTACTAATCTAAAAATTGGCTAGCACGTAGTACTATTTATACCAAAAATTCAACACCATGAAAGACTACTTGTGTACTTCACCCAAAACACCCAAAAACATCATTAAACCCCTAGGAAAATCCAAAAGAAGTCTTGTCGCGCCTAAAAGAGAAACTCCAAACATCGTTCAAATTCAATATCATTAACGACTAGTTTTGATCACTAAGAGAAAACAACTACTACACCATGAGAGCAAATCTTAGAGCATCACTGAAGCTTGTAACTTCTTCTTCACCTAATAATCATTCACTATGTACTATTCGATCTTTGTCTACAGCAAAAATAACAACCCATTTGAAAGAGGAGACCTTTTTCGAATCCTCAAACAAAGACCAACTGATTAAGCGGTTATGTAAAGAAAACAAATTCAACGAAGCCCTTCAAATTCTTTGCGAGCAAAGGCGTTTAAAAGAAGCCATTCAATTGCTCGAACGTCACGAAACCCGTCCTTCAGCTACAGCTTTTTCGACCCTTTTGCGAATGTGCACAGAAAGTCGGGCTCTTGACGAGGGAAAGAGAGTTCATAGGAGTATGAAATGTTCAGGTTTTAGACCTGGGGTTGTATTATCTAATCGGATTCTCGATTTTTATTGCAAATGTGATAAACCTTTTGATGCACACGACCTGTTTGTTGAAATGTCTGAGAGGGATTTGTGTTCTTGGAATATTATGGTCTCTGGGTTTGCTAAACTGGGTTTGATTGATGAAGCTACGAAGTTGTTCGATGAAATGCCCGAGAAGGATAACTTTTCTTGGACTGCGATGATCTCGGGTTATGTAAGGCATAATAAGCCTGAATGTGCATTGGAATTGTATAGAGTGATGCAGAGGGATGAGGATTTTAAGTGTAATAAATTTACGATCTCGAGTGCTCTTGCTGCTTCTGCTTCTATTCAGTCTTTACGTTTGGGAAAGGAGATTCATGGTCATATTGTGAGAACTGGGTTGGATTCTGATGCAGTTGTTTGGAGTGCGTTGAGTGATATGTATGGAAAATGTGGTAGCGTGGACGAAGCTAGGCATATTTTTGATAGGACTAAAGATAAGGATGTTGTTTCGTGGACAGCTATGATTGATAGGTACTTTGGAGATGGGAGGTGGGAGGAAGGTTATTTGCTGTTTTCACATTTGATGGAGTCGGGGATTAGGCCTAATGATTTTACTTTTGCTGGAGTTTTGAATGCGTGTGCGCACCAAACGACAGAGCATTTGGGAAAACAAGTACATGGGTACATGATGCGTATTGGCTTTGATCCTTGTTCGTTTGCAGCAAGTACCTTAGTTCATATGTACGCCAAATGTGGTAGTGTAGATAGTGCATATAAGGTATTTAAGCGGCTCCCAAGGCCCGATGTAGTTTCTTGGACCTCATTGATTAATGGTTACGCTCAAAATGGACAACCTAATGAAGCTCTTCGGTTGTTTGACTTATTGCTTAAATCTGGTACTCAGCCTGATCATATTACTTTTGTTGGCGTTCTTTCTGCTTGCACTCATGCAGGTTTAGTCGATGAAGGGCTTGAGTATTTTTACTCAATAAAGAACAAGCATCGTCTAACCCATACTTCAGACCACTATGCTTGTGTGGTTGATCTCCTGAGCCGATTTGGCAGATTTAAGGAGGCTGAAGAGATTATTAGTCAGATGCCAATGAAGCCTGATAAGTTTTTGTGGGCTTCCTTGCTTGGAGGATGCAGAGTCCATGGAAATGTTGAACTAGCAAAGAAAGCTGCTGAAGCACTATTTGAAATTGAGCCCGAGAACGCAGCTACTTATGTTACCATTGCAAACATATATGCCACTGCTGGAAAATGGACTGAAGTGGCAAAAATCAGACAAGTCATGGAAGAGAAAGGTGTGGTGAAGAAGCCAGGTATAAGTTGGATTAATTTGCAGAGAAAAGTCTACATTTTCTTGGTCGGTGATAAATCACATCCTAGGTCAAAGGAAATATATGACTTCTTAGGGGAGCTGTGGAGGAGAATGAAAGAAGAGGGATATGTCCCTGACATAGACAATGTGCTGCATGATGTGGAAGAGGAACAGAAAGAGCAAAATCTCTCCTATCACAGTGAAAAACTTGCAGTCGCCTTTGGAATTATTGCTACTCCACCTGGAACACAGATAAAGGTTTTTAAGAATCTACGGACTTGCGTTGACTGTCACACTGCGATCAAATATATCTCTCAAATTGAAAAGAGAAGAATTATTGTGCGGGATTCCAGTCGGTTTCACTGTTTTGAGGGTGGGAGTTGTTCGTGCAAGGACTATTGGTGATTTTCTCCTTTTTTTAAAGGAAGCTACAGAAAGCAAAACTATCATGTCTTGATATTGAACTGGAATGGTTTTGCAACAAATTGTGTTATTCTAAGGAGGTATTCTACTTCATTCTGCATCTTGTCATTATTTTGCCAATGACTTTTGGCTACTTGGTCGGTGACGAAGTGGTAGTAAACAATGTGATTCCAGCATACAAATATTGTTTTTATAGAGGAGAGAACTTAGATCCCTTCTTGCGCTTCTTTTCTGATATTATTATCTCTTCTGTTGAGCCGAGGGTCTCCCGGAAACAGCCTCCCTACTCTTCCGGGGTAGGGGTAAGGTCTGCGTACATCCTACCCTCCCCAGACCCCACTAGTGGGATTTTACTGGGTATGTTGTTGTTGTTGTTGTTGTTGTTGTATAGAGGAGAGAACTTAGTAAAGCTAGCAGTTTGCAGATGATGAGGTTTTCGATAAGACCCTGTATATAGAAACTTTTTGATAGACACCGTATACAATATTTTTGGATATAATTCATGTCATATCATATTTTTTTTAAAATGTATTCATGTTATATCAACTTTGTTTTTTGATAGTCCTAGTTGTGAACTTTCCCTTTTGAGGGTGCTATTCTAATATGTAATTACTGTGAAGTAAAACTAAGTTTTGTTTTGTTTTATTCTTTAGTTTCCTGTGGGTGTTTTCTGTTTACGTTCGAAATTTTGTCTTGATGCTACTTTTTTGTGCTTCAGTTTTTTGTTTCTTTTTCATTCACATGAAATCCCGTTGCTCCAGTGCAAGCAGTGGAGTAGACATCACATCAGCAAGTGAAATTCTCATCTTTCTGATGCATGAAATGTGCATTTCCTTTGTTATTTTTCTTTTTTCTGTGCATGTTTTGGTTCTTTTCTCCTAGTATTATCTTGCAGAGATTGTTTGCCTTAAAAAGCTCTAGTGACTCATCAGTAATCCCTTGTCCATATCTTTGTATTCCATTATAGCCGTATAGGATCTCCCATTTGTATAAACTATCCAATTCGCTGTGCGAATAAGATGTGTATTCTCATCTTCTTTTATTGTATTTCTACTTTATGCAGATGCAATTGGTACAAGGATATGGTTGGACTCTCGTATCCCTTGGCATTTGCTTCTGGAAAAAAGTAATTTCTCTTCAAGTAACTTTCACGAGACAGCTTTTGGGTGCTTTTTCAGTGTAAGACACATAATCTTCAATCTCTTGGATTTCTATGAATAAAGTCTGATAATGGTACAGCCTGTGTGCAAATTTAATGATCTAGAATTAGTGAACTCCTCAATTTCTTTTATATATTAAGTGCAAGCTTCTAAGCCACACACACACACACACTCTGCTCTCTCTTTTCCTTCTATACTTATAGCTTACCAGATCATCTAGCCAAGCTTTTGTTACTGGTTTTCTGCCTGCTTTCTCCTAAATGAATAAGTCAAATAATTTATTAATAAAGAATTTAGGGGATGCAACCTGCTTACAAAATTTGAATAACAGACATCCCTTGACTTTGTTACATGTTAGGACTCTGGAATATTAACTCTAGGGAATTTACAGTGATGGTATGTCGTGTTGATTCATGTATAAATACAAAGGCTAATATACTAATAACAACCATCTACAGTTTACGGATTAAAAGAAAAACATCACCTGCATTTTATGAAAGGCTTAGATATGAAGGCTAAATGTAATTTTTTTGTTTTGGCGGAGAAAATGATAGAAATGAAGGGTCCAAGTTAGGTATGCTTTTGGTGCTGCGTAGTTTACATGCAACTTTTGACATCTAATATCTAAGATAAGCCAAAGGATAGCCAATTTGGCACAACTTATGGCAATGACGTGTTTTTAGCACCTCTTGAATATGCAGGTAAGTTTAACAAAAGGCCCTATAAAGTGCATGTGCTGTTTAAGATAAAAGGACCTTGATTCCCTTTTAAAACAGCAGCGAATTCATAAAGTCCAGTAGAGAGATAGCTTCACTTACAAAAGATGAGAATACAGAGTGCAATGTGTGATGTCTGGGTAAGGCGCATGTCACAGGTTTGAACCTTGTCGCAAACAAAAGCCTGGTATTTAATTGGAGAATAGTAGAGGAACGGGCCCATTATCTGCGGATTTTCTAACCGTGCACCACTAGGTCCTCAGGGATTTCTCAGTTTAAAAAATATTCCAGGCTATATATTAAGAAGTAGTTCAGCAGTGTTGGCTTTCTGCTCGTTGGTTTATGCCTTAGAAGAAGCTATAAAACTGGAGATCACAAATTTGGAAGTTTTGAATAATTCTGAAATTTCCTAAAAGATTTGTATTAATACCATAAGAAACTGTATAATTTGAATGTATCTAGTTGTTAAGTTCAGAATTTCACGTTGGATTTACCCAGAAAGGTCTTGAACATTTTTTAGGATGTTTGCGACATTGTAGCATCTTCTCTTGGATGAAATACACTACTTATCACGAGCGATACCAATTTGTCCACAGGTATTATTTGAATATTGATCTAATTAACAATTTACGCCCTTCAAGAGGAAAAATTTATTTTGAAGCGAATATATTACAGAATAAGGAAGATATGATATTGCAGTCCATCACAAATGTTATTTTTGTTATGGGACCTTTTCCACAGGAGATCAGCGGAAATAACATAGGAGATCATTTGTAGGTATTCTAAAATGCTTGTAAATAAAACACATGAATTGTAAGTGACATAGGAGATCATTTATAGGTATTCCAAAATCTTGATCCAAGGTCCAGATGCTAAAAGAATAAAATAAAACACGCCCTTTTTTCCAATGACTTCCTTTGAATGGAATGTAAAAATGATCTTTGAAATTTCATATTGCTTTTGATAGATGCTTTTATATTAAACTAAGTTCCCTTCTTTCTTAAATATGTCCCCCATTTGGTGATGGAGGAAAGGAGTTTTGCTCAGATGGCTTTCGTCCTGGCCTTGGAGCTTTTTGCTATTAGAAGAACGGATCCCTGAAATTCGGACCATTGTTGTGCACTCCATATATTTCTATGATGTAGTCCCCAGAGCTTGGTCTTAGTGGTAAGAGCGCAACACATGATGTGTCAATTAGGTTGTCACAAGCTTGAACCCTGTGACAAGAACCTGGTACCTGGTATTTTAGTGGAGACGGGTATATGGGTAGACTCATTATAAGAGTTGCTATGACTTCTTCGACTATGTTATGAATGTTTCGACTTAAATGAAGTTTTACTAACACTATGAGAATCTCATGTGAACTTTAAGACTTGTTTGAACAATCATTTTTTCTGTATAGAGCTGGAGAGCACGACTTGAAGAAGAAGCTAGAGAGAAACAGAGTTACTGTTCTATTGAAAAGAGAAATGAACTGTGTGTACATTTGAGTCTATACAGTGTATTTATATTTTATATACTACTAATTAGTTACTAACCTCCTAACTAACTTGCTAACTGCCTAACTAATAAGTTTAACTAACTCTTCACTTAACCACCTAGAAAAACTATAGTTTGTTAGTTCGACTACTCTCAACACTCCCCCTCACGCTGAAGACTTGAAGAGGTTCTTCACTCCAAGCTTGTCTAGTAGATAGTCATGTTGAGTCTTCCCCAAGCTTTTTGTAAGCAAGTCTGCTAACTGCTCCTTGGTCGACACATGCTGAGTTTTCACTATGCCTTGCAATATTCTTTCTCGAACAAAGTGACAGACTATATCAATATGTTTGGTTTTTTCGTGGAAGATGGGGTTGGCTGCAATTTGAATTGCAGCTTTTCTATCACACATAAGCTTTACAGGTGAATTTAGCTGAATTCCAAGCTTCTTTAACAGACCAATCAGCCAAACTATCTCAGCAGTACGTGATGTCATGCTTCTGAACTCAGCTTCTGGACACAGTCTCCTGTTTTTTTTATTTCCATGAGATTAATGCATCACCAAACTTTACTAAATAGACTGTGACTGACCTTCTAGTTTGTAGGCAGGTACCTCAATCAGAGTCACACTAGGCAAACAACTTGTTTGTATTCTGCATTGGCATAAAGAGTCCTAAGCCAGGAGCCCCTTTTATGTATCTTACAACTCTTAAGGCTGCTTCCTTTTGAGATACCTTAGGATTATGCATGTATTGACTCAAGACCTGGACTACAAAGGCCAGGTCTGGTATGGTCATGGTCAAGTAGAGTAGTACTCCTACAAGTCTTCGATAAATGCGATCTGTGAGTGATGCATATGTTACTTCTGTATCTCCTACATCTGTTACAGCCTTATCATAATCCTCAAAAATTAGCTTCTGATTCAACTCAAGAGGAGAACGTGCAGGCTTAGCTCCCCCTAGCCCTGACTCATAGATGAGTTCCGATGCATACTTCCTTTGAGACATTACTATGCCTTCCTTCGACCTGGCAAACTCAATGCCCAGAAAGAACTTAAGATCACCTAGGTCTTTCATTTTAAAGTTGCTGTGCAAATCTTCTTTTGTCTGGTTAAGTAGTATCACATTGTTGGCTGTGATTTGTAGGTCATCCACATAGACCAAAACTACAACTATGTCACTGCCCTGTGTTTGGTAAATAGAGAGTAATCAAAGTGACTTTGCTAAAATCCCATGTGCAGTAATACCTCTATTAGTTTCTTGTTCCATTGCCTTGGGGCCTGTTTTGAGGCCATACAAGGCCTTGTGGAGTTTGTATACCTTGTGAGATTCCCCCTATCTAGCAAACCATTTAGGAATCTGCATATACACTTCTTCCAGTAGGTCATCATTGAGGAAAGCATTGTGCACATCCATCTGATAGATGACCCACTGTTTAGTTGCTGCCAGGGCAATGATTGCCTAAATGGTACCATTTTTGCTACAGGAGAAAATGTATCAGTATAGTCAAGTCCCTCCTTCTAGCTATAGCCTTTGGCTATCAGCCTGGCTTTGTACCTTTCAACTTCTCCTGAGGCCTTAAACTTGATCTTGAAGATCCACTTGCACCCAATAGGGTGTTTTGCCTGTAGGAAGATCCACAATGCTCCATGTGTGGTTGTCTTCTAATGCAGCTACTTCAAGTTTCATAGCTTCTATCCACTTAGGATTTGCAGCTACTTCAAGTTTCATAGCTTCTATCCACTTAGGATTTGCTGCTGCTTCTCTGAAGGATTTTGGTTATGTAATGAAAGAGTAGGAGGATAGGGCATGGATATGAGCTGGTTTTATAGTGTGATAACTCATTAGAAACATAGGAAGAAATTGGATATTTACAGCTATGAGAGGTGATTGGTTTGGTCACATAGTCTTGTAGCCACATGGGTGGTTTGCTAGGTCTTGATGACCTTCTAAGGTTCATAGCAGGTGCTTGTGGAGACTCTGGGACACAGGGCTCAACTGCAGGAGGAGAGTAACCTATAGAAACAGGCTCCGCTGAATATTGTTGAACATGTGGAGAAGCAGCTGTGACAGAGTCCATAGTTGGGCTTAGAGTTGGATCAGGGGACAAAGGAGTACTATGAGGTTTAGGCACATACTGCAGTTCAGTAATAGAGGGCAACAAGTCTCGGACAGGAAATACGGGAGTGCTAGTAGTTTGTAGGTGCTTAAAGGAAAAAATGTTTCTTGAAAGATCACATTTTTACTCACAATGAATGACCTTGAGTGAAGATCATAGATCTTGTAGCCCTTCTGAGCTGAGGAATAACCTCGAAAAGCACCAGGTACTGCTCAGAAGGCAAATTGTCCAATTCCTTAGAAGTGGTTGCATAGCACATGCAACCAAATACTTTGAGGTGCGATAGTGATGGAGCATGCAAATAAAGCATCTCTAAAGGTGATTTACCACCAATGACCTTTGAGGGAAGTCTTTTGATCAAATAGACAGCAGTAGACACACACTCTCCCCAGAATTTCAAAAGGAGAGCAGCCTGAAACCTCAGAGCTCTGGCCATCTTTAGAATTGTCTTATGTCTCCTTTCAGCAACTCCATTTTGCTGAGGAGTGTAGGTGCAGGTACTTTAATGAATGATGCCCATTGATGACATGAGAATTTACACTTCATGATTGAAGAATTCACCGCCATTATCAGTTCTAAGAGTAAGACTGATGCAAAAAAAATATTTTTCACCTTTGTTAGGAAGTCTTCCAGAACAACTATTGTATCTGATTTGGAGACAAGCAAGAAAATCCAGGTGAATCTAGAGTAGTCATCCACAATAGTGACAAAGAATATTTTACTATCATATGATGGTACCCTCGTAAGACCCCCCCCCCCCCCCCCCCCACACCACAAGACATCACAATGTACCAATTCAAAAGCAGAATGAGAGGTCGTAGTACTAGTTTGTATGTTTGCTTGGATAAAGGACATACAGTGCAACGAGTGTGAGTAGTGTCTTTCAGCTTACTTAGTGATGTGTGCTTCTTGATTACATCTAGGGGTGCATGACCTATCTTCTATGCTAGATTACACTAGAATCAGAACATTCATCAGCCATATGAGCAAACTTATTCTCAGACTTAGTAACCTTATTTACAGACTTAACCTCAGGTACTTCTTGATGAGTTTTATTCCTTTGCTGAGCTGGAGCATGTTGCAGTATACCACTTAGTGATGGCTTTCCTTGTAGTATATACAATTCCTGATCCTCCTTAACAATCCCCTTCACCTGATCATTGTAAATGTGAGAATGCACGGGAGAAAAATCTATTATTGATTAATTATGACAATGATACAATGAGCCCTATATATATACAATACATGTCCTACTCCTAATACATATGGGATTAGGGTATTTACTACTATTTATACAATGAAACTAACACTCCCCCTCAAGTTGGTGCATATAAATCATATGTACCGAGCTTGTTACATATATAACTAATACGAGGATCAGTGAGGGACTTGGTGAAAATATCAGCAAGCTGATGATTCGACTTCACAAATTTTGTAGCAATATCTCCCGAGAGTATCTTTTTTCTAACAAAGTGACAGTCAATCTCGATGTGTTTAGTTCTCTCATGGAACACTGGATTTGACGCAATATGAAGAGCAGCTTGATTATCACACACAAGTCCCATCTGACTAATCTCACCAAATTTCAACTCCTTGAGTAACTGTTTGATCCAAATTAGCTCACATGTGGCCATAGCCATTGCTCGATAATTTGCTTCTGCACTAGACCGAGCAACCACATTCTGTTTCTTGCTCTTCCAAGACACCAAATTTTCTCCTACTAAGACAATATCCAGACGTAGAACGTCTATCAGAAGGTGATCCTGCCCAATCAGCATCTGAGTATCCAACGATCTGCTCATGGCCTCGATCTTCAAACAATAAGCCTTTGCATGGAGCTGATTTTATATGCCGAAGAATGCGGACAACTGCATCCTAATGACTATCACAGGGAGAATCCATAAACTGACTCACAACACTCACAGGAAAGGAAATGTCAGGTCTAGTCACTGTGAGGTAATTTAATTTACCAACCAACCACCTATATCTTGCAGGATCGCTAAGAGGCTCCCCCTGTCCTGGCAGAAGTTTAGAATTCGGATCCATCGGAGTGTCAACAGGTCTACAACCTGTCATTCCTGTCTCCTCAAGAATATCTAAGGCATACTTCCGTTGTGAGATCACAATACCTGAGCTAGACTGAGCGACCTCAATACCCAGAAAATACTTTTATCTGCCCAGATCCTTAGTCTGAAAGTGCTGAAAGAGATGTTGCTTCAACTTACTAATACCATCCTGATCATTGCCGGTAATAACAATATCGTCAACATAAACGGCCAGATAAATACAAAGATTTGAAGCAGAATGTCGATAAAATACAGAGTGATCAGCTTCACTACGAGTCATGCCAAACTCCTGAATAACTGTGCTGAACTTACCAAACCAGGCTCGAAGAGACTGCTTTAGACCATAGAGGGACCGGCGCAACCGACATTCAAGGCCACTAGACTCCCCCTGAGCAACAAAACCAGGTGGTTGCTCCATATAAACCTCATCCTCAAGGTCACCGCGAAGAAAAGCATTCTTAATGTCCAATTGATAGAGAGGCCAATGGCGAACAGCAGCCATGGATAGAAAAAGGCGGACTGATGCAATTTTAGCCACGAGAGAGAAAGTATCACTGTAATCGAGTACAAATATTTGAGTATATCCTTTGGCAACAAGACGAGCCTTAAGTCGATCAACCTGGCCATCTGGACCAACTTTGACTGCATACACCCAACGACAACCAACAGTCGATTTACCTGAAGGAAGAGGAACAAGCTCCCAAGTACCACTCGTATGTAAAGCAGACATCTCGTCAATCATAGCCTGTCGCCATCCCGGATGAGACAGTGCTTCACCTGTAGACTTAGGAATAGAAACAGAGGACAAAGATGACACAAATGCACAATGGGATGATGAGAGACGATGGTAACTTAAACCGATATAATGAGGATTAGGATTAAATGTGGACCGTATACCTTTTCGTAGTGCAATCGGTTGATTAAGAGGAGACAAGTCCGCACTATTAGCAGGGTCAGGTGCAGGACGTGAATCAAC